GACTTGTGTAAGCTACTAGGTCATTAAGATTATCGCCTTAGGCCTAACAGAGTATTCACTTATACTATATAACCCGTCATTAATTTTTTGTTGAGCATTAATATTAATTATATAATTTTATTAAAAATTTAGTGCTTATTTATACTCTGTATAACTATAGCTCATGATTAATTTTCTATTAACCATTAATGTTAATTATATCTTTCCATTAAAGATTTATTGCCCCGTTGCTTAAAGAATTTTTTTTAAAATTAAAATTACTTAAATCTTATTATAAAATTTTAATATTTGATTTTGCTGCTCAAAAAGTTAGATATAAAAATAGATAAATAATATTTTCTTCTGAAAATTAATATAAAAATAGATAAATAATAATATATTAGATCTCCCAAATAATTTTGTTCTCATCTTTTCTCTTATTTTTCATTCTCATCTTTTACCCATTATATATATATATATATATATAAGTCCTATGAGTCCTGTTCTTCTATTTTTACATTGAATCTCATCTACGGTGAGACCGCATTTGGTGCTCATCACCATGCTCATCATTGTTATAAGATGATCGACGCCCTTCATTTTTTTAAATGACATATGTTGTTGATTTAAAATTATATTTATATTAAATTTATTAAAATAAAAATTATGAAAAAATATAATATTAAATGTGAACTGTTCATAGTTTATTTAGATGATCAAATAATTAAAATTATAAAATTTTTAATATTAAATTGGACCTTTTAAATTATATCTATACTGTCTAGAGTACATCTAGATAGTTAATTTGTAAAAATTATTAAAAAATAAGATTAGACTGGGTTATTCAGATTAATCTGTACTAACCAGATTGGTGATAAACAAATTTATTAAAGATTTTTATATTTTTTACATATTTTTTATTTTGATAAATATAAAATAAAAGTAAAAGTTTAAATTTGGACAATCTAGATCTTATTAGGGGTGATGAGTGCTGTAATATTTATCCTCTAATAACATAAAAAACGGTACATATTTAATATATAATATAATTTTTATATATTTTATTTTTATAAATATAATATTGAAATATTTTAAAAAATAATTTTAAATCAATGACAGGGATCATTTGAAGAGAAAATAAATGACTTAAATCTTCTCACGTTGATGAGCGCGCGGTGATGAGCACTGAATATGTTTCCCATCTAAGATCTTCTTTTCCCCCCTAATTTTTTATACCATTTAAAAAAGAATTCTAAATATATAAATTTTAAAAATGACTTTTTGAAATTAAGATTATAAATTTAAATTTTAGTTCACCAATACAAATATCTAAGTCAAGTTTTTTCAACTAATTTTTTTATGATATCAAATGCACAACGTTTTTCCTGGAGAAACTTGAAGGAAAAAACACAAAAAGAGAAAATCGGCCAATATAATTCTAGGAAAAACTGTTTTTTTGAAAAAGTCTTAGTTCTTTTGAAAAAGTCAAACAAAACAGTTAAAATTAAAAAGCTCAATTCCCTTCAACGATTATTTGCTCACCACCACCGCCACCTCATCATTTTTGGGGCGTTTAACGGTTCCACTTCTCCAAAAGAAAAAAAAAAGAAAAAAGGAAAATTGCATGGAAGCTTACTATGAATCTTTTCGAGGTAGATCCAACAGGAAATGAATAAAGTTTCTAAGTGAAGTTTTCTCCAAGATAAAATGCGTATTTTTATTTTTTCTCTCAACAAAATATGATAGATAATCTTTAATAGAATAATATTTTTTTAATTCCCTTATAATTTAATGTATTTTGGTTAACTTGGTTCGTTTTAGTATTTTAAGTATAAAACTTGAACAAACCGAACTGGAACAAAAGGAGTTAACTTAATTTCTACGTGAAACATAGTTAAGAAAAATACGAACAAACACATATACATTGTATTAAAAATAATTTTAATGGAATAAAATAAGTGAAAGAAATTAATAATTGCTGCCTCCCTTTAATATTATAAAACATTTTAACCGAATCATACTCACAAAAAATTATTTAATTATCTTTAAAATTATATTCTATTTTTATATTTATCCTTATTTAATAAGGTGTCTCAATTAAAAAACTTTATTAATTACACCCTCTAATTAAAAGTAAATTTGAAAAAATATCATTAATTATACATAGAAAGACCCAAAATGTCTTATAATTTTAACATCTTACCTTAAAAAAAAAAAAAACCTTACTTTCTTGAATGGAAGAAGTATAATATTAATATGTATTTTTTTAGTTTTATTAATTTTAAATTTTGTTCCTAATCAATTAAACTTTAAGAGTTGTCAGGAGAAAAAAAAAAGAGTGAGAATACTTTTAACATGATATTTTAAAATAATTCTAAAAACTTGTTTTCTATTTGATAACGAGAAAAAAAAAACAATTATTGATTTCTTTACTTTTTAGTATGTTTTGATATTAGTTCTTGTACCTTTTCATTACTTCAAGTCTTTTAAGTTTTATGTGTCTGCAATGTTAGTCTATATATTTTTAAATATGATCATAAAAACTTAATGGTGGTTAAACACACAATGAATGATGCTTTAGAAGGAAGAAGGCACAATAACTAGCGCAGACTGATAGAAAGTTTAGTAGACATTTTGATATTTAAAAAAATTATAATTTTAAATTTATAATTAATTTTAACATATAGTAGGAGTGTTTTGATATATTTTCAAAAAATCAATTACACCACATAATATAAGGAATTATATTTAAAATTGATCATATTAATCAATTTTATTTATAACAAATTTTATTCATTAAATATTCAAACAGATCCTAAGTTATTAGCTAAAAATAGCACTGCAGAGAAAAGAAATTATAAATATTATATCGAATCTGAAAAAAAAAAGGAAAAAAAGAAAACCATATATAATCTCTCTCTCTCTCTCTCTCTCTCTCTGTCTCTGTCTCTCTCTTTCACACACACACACACACAAACACACACAAACAATGATATAGAATGGAGAAATCAAACTTCAACTTGACTTGTCTGATATGATTTTATCCATGAAACTAATCATAATAGCAGGCTTTGCAGAGAAGGGATTGCGCCAATGCTCTCGACGGTGTCGTTTTGATTTCTGACGTTCCCAGTTATTTATAAACTTATATGAGGCTCGTTCCACAGCACTTGCTTCGTGGTAGAAGTCGTCGTAGTAATTGTCGTCGTCGTCGTCTTCTTTAGATGTTGGTTTTGTTCCGATGCTCTCATTAGTTGTCTTTGTAATGATTATTTGTGTATCAGCTGAGATAACGTAATTGTAGTAACACACTAAGCAGACCTTATTGTTCTCAAAATAACCTTTAAATCTACAATTAGGGGTGTTAGCGGGGTGGGATGGGACCAGGATACTCATATCCTGTGTCTCGTCCTGAAAAAAAAGATCGGGATTAAATTTTGGTCTTGTGTCCCGTTCCATTCCAAAAGTCATCTCGTCTTATTAGGAGTCAGGATGGGACCGGAATAAAATTGAGACGTCCCACCATCCTGATAAATGGGATAATATTGAACAAAGATATGAATAATAACGTTTATTAAAATTTTAAATCATATAATTTATTAAGTTTAAAATCAAAACAATACAAATACATAAATCACAACAATTTAAAATCAATTATTAAATTATATTAATTACAACTACACATTATAATAACAAATACAAGTGATCTTAATGTTATAAGATTAGCAACAACAGGCAAGTCAAGCACAATATCAAATCATTGTTTGTCTACTTTAGTGGAGATGTATGAAACTAATTACTCTTCTAAAAATAAAGCAAGAAATACATTATAAATAAAAAAGTTATTAAATAGATAGATATAAGAATAAATTATATTAATATAATTAATATATTATAAAGAAAGATATCGCTATGTTTACTCCATGTTATTAAATTATCAATATAAAAAAACTTTAGTTTTAAACAAGAATTGCAAGTATTGAAATTATAATTGATATAATTAATATAAGAATAAATTATATTAATATAATTAATATATTTAAAATCAAAAATAATATATATAATATTCGAGATGGGACAGGATGTCCTGATGGTAATCCCGTGTCCCATCCCTTCCCGAACCCCTTTTCTATCCCGTTCCGTAAAGTCCCGTTTTGATTATTTTTGAGCCGAGACAAGACTTGTCCTGATACAATTGGGACGAGTCCAAACTGAACATCTCTATCTACAATTAAAAACGGACAGAGGAAGATCCACGTGTATATAGTTCCTGAATAATTTCTTATTGCCTTTTTATCCATCACTAATTGCGATGAACTCGTAGTTTATCTATAGGGATAGCGCTTACTTTCCCTATCAGTTATCATTATAGACCTCTCAACTGTTTTTAATTTTAATTTAATTTAAATGGGATCCTCGTATCACTAAAAAGATTGCTATTTAAAAAAATAGAAAATTAATTTATATAGTAAATAAATACTGATATGGGATTGCATTATTTGCGTTATATTAGGATATTTAAATTTAAAATACAAGTCTTATTTAGATAATCCTTAAGCTTAAAGTTTTTAATTATTAATTTTTGAATGATAAATTTTGTTATGATTTTTTAAGGATGATAATTGTAAGATTATCTTTATTTTGAAATTGTTTTCACAGTTTCCTTTTTCCAGATAAACTTTCGAGAAAAGGGAAAAAAAACAACAAAATCCAATAGAAATTTCTTTAGAGAAGTTCTCTCTGTATTTACTCAGATTTTTTTTTTTTGGTAGTTATGACTTAGACTACGCAATCCTATTCCGTCTTTCACGGCGAGATTTCTTAATATGGTTATTTGACGACTTCCCAGGTCTGCTTCACTAAAACCATATGTATATCAGGTTTTATTTCACTTTTTTTTTTTGGTTAAACCTTTTATTCTTTTAATTGGTTCTTCTTTTTTCTTCCTATTTCTTTTGTAACTGATGCTTTGATAAAGAAACACACACTGTTCAATCTTTCTGCTCAATTTACATTCTACGATGATCATGGGGTTACACAGAAGATCATCAGGAAAGCTTGTGTTTGATTCTTTTCGAAGTTTGATCTCTTCGAGGATCAACATTACACCCAAAACCCACCTCGAACACTTGTTGATTCCTGCATGGAATAATAGAACTAAATTTTCATCGTATTCTCTTGCATCACAGAGACTAGGGCTAGGCTTACGAGGTAGATCCAACAGGAACATATCTAATCCATATCTCAACGAGGCTCGGAGATTTTACTACGTGGATCATCAGTACAATAATGTGAAGCAACATCGTAAGTCACGAGGTCTTAAACGGTGGTTCCTTGTGGGTTTCTTGATCATAGTAACATGTTTTTCAGGGCTTGTTGTGAAGACATACTATGATCTTGCGGAAGGTGTTCCATTTCACGATCGGACTCGTTTAATTATGTTCCCAGAGTCTAAGATTACGACCCTTGAAGAGATGTATTTCAAGAGAAGAAACTCGTTTGAAGGGAGAATATTGCCTGATACCGACCATGAAAGCGTTCGTGTCAGAAGGATAGCTCAGGACATGATTGATGTGTTATTATCTAAGAAGGACGAGATGATGATGAGTCAACATGGCAGAAAAACAAAAAGGTCAAAACTTGGTGGTGAGCTATGTTTGGATAAACTGAAGTGGGAAGTGATAGTGGTGAGTGGTTCTGAAGATCCCTTTTCTCTACCGTGTGGGAAGATTGTGGTGTCTGATTCCATGCTTCAGCATCTCACAAGTGACTCGGAGGTAGCATTCATCCTTGGACGTCAGGTATATCGTATGTACACGTACATTGTGTTTTGTTTTTAATTTTTGTAGTTTTATTTTGTTATTCTGAATTTTTTAAATTTGATCCATCTACAACATTATTAGTTTTGTAGCTATAAAAAGCATATGAGGATCATACCCTAGCTAGCACTGACGAAGTTAATTTTACTAATGCATATTTAACTCTGTTAATTCTCTTGCGGATATATTTAATCTTTCTTTCATCTCTTACACTCTTTTGTTTAAGCCAAATATAAATTGAATTTTTTTTTGTCTTACCTTATTTTTAATCATACTAAAGAAAATATAGTAGAGTACATTATAGTTAAATTAATTGGGAGAATTGCATACAAGTCTCACTCAACACAAATTGTGTTGTCATTTTTTTAAAGTCAGCTGTCTATAGACTTTAGAGTAGGTAATTGTGTTGAGTATGATCTTAAAGTAATTCTTCTAAATTAATTCTTTCAATGCCGGCTCATATTTTTATGTGCATTTTTAAAAGGGAAAATATAATCATTGATTATTATAGTTTTATTTAGTTTTGTTTTTAGTCCTGGTAGTTTTTTTAAATATTTTTAATTTTTATAAGTCCTGTAATTTAATATTGTTAGGGAAATGAGGAACAAACATCATTCAATTTTGTTGAAACTATAAGGATGAAAAAACAAAAAAAAAATATTATAGGAACTAAGCTAAAAGCAAAACCTCATAAAATTATGAGGACCAATGATTATCTTTTTTGTTTTTTAAAATCTTAGGAACTATAAATCAAACTAAAGAAGTTAGTCAATGAAATAAAATTATAGACACTAAAAATAAAATACAATCAAAATATAGAGACTTAATTAATGTTATATTTTTTCTTTTATATATTTGGTTGGGCACATGTACGTATAATACAATACATGAAATGGTGTTTTAGATTGGGCATATTGTGGCTCGATATTCAGCTGAAAACTTCACACAAGCTGGTTGCACCATTATTCTACAGTCCGTACTCGAGCCAATTGGCTTGTGGAATGCATTCAAACGTCGCTATACTGCTGTTGTCGTGCGTATCCTTCACAAGTAAGCTTTATTCACTCTCAATTATTTTTGGTATTTCTTGCTTTCTTGTTTTATTGATATTAGTTTTTTTTATCTATTTTTTTTTTGAATTAAGTCCCACCACTTCTACGAACTGAGTTTTACATATAATACTCTAAAATTTACACTAATTTTTAAATATGGTTAAAGAATCAAATGTTAACCATTAAACACATATCATGTTGAAAAAGTGTCTGCCACGTCAATAAGGAGAAAAACTTATATTTTTCAAACACTAGCATGATTAATAAAGATTTACTATGTTAAAAAGAACTTTAGATATTATTTCAAAACTTTACCATGGCATAAAAGAGTTTATTATGGTAATTAGGAGTTAAAGTTGTTTTTTAGATGCTCACTATAGTAGAAAGAGCTCTACTTACAATTAAAACATTATTCAAAATTGGACTACAATAATATAAAAGGATTTACCATTGTAGAAAAGATTAAACATAGCAAAATAGACCTACCATGATAATTTAAAAACTCAATAAGTTAAAAAAATAATTATCAATGGAAAACTAAATTAAATAAAGTGTACAACTATGGGATCCCATTGAAAACAAGTGTTTAAATCAACTATTTTTGCTAAAAATCATAAACAAAAGTGGAACATGGTTTCCCGAGGGCTAAATTGTCCAAGAATAAGTTGAGAAATGGCAAAAGGTCACAAAGGGCCATTTTTAAAATCATAAAACAAACAAGGACCTTTCTATCTAGGGCATATCATGCGTCGCGACATGTGTATTGTGCGCTGCAGCGCATAGTACCATATTAGCATAATAGCAGTATGAATAATAAAATCTGATTTTGAACAAGCATAACTTTTTACATTGTATATTTAATTTGAGTAATTTAAGTATTCATACAAAGCTTATTTAATAATATAGCTAATGGCTGTAGTTTGGTATTAAAACTCCTTTGTATGTATGATGAGGATTTTATCCATTAATTCCCATTAACAGTCAAAACACGTTATTTACCAAAGAATAACACTTTCAAAACCAAATCCAAAGCTAAAGTCATTGTATAGGACACTTGACCACCACACACACATTCGAAACTACAAACTTACACCTGCATATTTATATTAATCAAAACTCTCATAGTTGGGTAAGGTCATAGTCTCCAAACATAGTTTATATAGTAAAAGCAACATAAATTGGTATAAACAAATATTTTACTTCAAAGTCATTGTAAACCATTTAATTATTTCAAAATATGACCATAAATGTCAAAAACTAACTCATGACAATCAAATATATGTTTAATCAAAACAAAGAATCACATGCTCACGTTACAAAGTTAATGCCCTAAGGTTGACAATTTACACTTGTCCAAAACAAAAGAGGCTAACTAAACTAATGGTGTCCATACATATTGATCTACTCTTCTAGTGATTCTTTAGCCTGACTCTTTCATGTAAAAATGTTAATTATAGGGATGAGATATAGAGGTCCCAATAATCAAAAATTAATATGTAATTAATCATGCGATCGTTAAATGTGGTATACAAAATTTTTTTAAAAAATATATATGGAGGTCCTTTTAGTTTCACTCAATTTTGAATTAGATCCTTACAATTTATTTTGTTTTAATTGAGCTCTTATAGTTTAACTAATTAAATTTTTAATCCCTGAAAGTTAAAATCCTTACATTTTTCCTTTAAAAAAATTTAAAACTTTTATATTTTTATTAAATGATTATATGAATTCAGAATTAATTACATAATTTTTATAACTCAAATTTATATAATTAGGTTGTCTTCTAAATATTTTTTATACATGTAGATTTTGCATAAAAACTTATAATAAAAATATAAACAATGGATCAAATTAAATTTTCTTTTTTTAATTTTGGCTAAAATTATTAAATTAAATCTTCTACAGACTCTAAGAGTATTTCTGTTTTGTAAAATTTAATAATTCATTATTAATTTTAAACTATAAGAACTTGATTAAAATAAAATAAATTGCAGGAACCTAATTCAAGAATGAGTAAAACTGGAAGGATTTATAAGTATATTTTTTTTAAAAAAATTTCAAACATGTGTTATCCAAACAACAAATGTCAATATCTTTTTACATAATATTGAGTTGAAAAAAATTTTAAATTTTGAAAAATATTATAAAAATTGAAATGATAATAAATGTTAAAAAGATCATAAAAATAATATAGTATACCATAAAATAAAAATTTCAAAAAAAATAATAGAAAATAAGTTTTTTTTTTTTTTTTTTAGAATTGGGTTCGGTAGCGTAGAATTTGACCCTATCTCAATGAGCCTGAATGGCTCGAGCAAAGACGTGGGCTTACTGGGCTTTTGGACAACATGTACAGTCCTAGCTCGTACTATTATCATTTCTACAATTTGCAGGCAAGTATTTGAAGCAGATTACATTGGGATGTGGTTAAGTGCTTCGGCTGGATATGATCCCAGGGAGGCTCCGAAGTTGTTGGAGAGGATGGAGGAGTTACGGAAGGACAACATTCGTACACAACCAAGTCCAAAATCTAGGGCAGAATTTCTGATACAGCCTGAGATTATGAGAGAGCCTCTTTCTATATACCTACGAGAATGTCAAACTAGGACTTGATAAATGAGGTTTGGAAAAGGATTTACGGAAGAGCAAGAGATTTTTTTTTTTGAAAAAAATTAATATCCACTTCCTCTTCTCGCTTTTGAGGGGGATGGCTTACAAATTGTGAATTCTAACCCTTGTTCATGAACAATTTGGTTTTTATATATCCCAACACAATTGACCAGATTATGACTTGAATTAATGGCAGGATTAAAAAAATGACTAAAAATAATATCAAAAATGACAAAAAAGATTAAGGAAATTTTATTAGTCCTTATTTATAATTTTTTTTATATGTAGTTGTTACAAGAATCTTAATGGATTAGATTTTTACATTTTGATTTGAATATTAATTTTAATATTTATATTTAAATTGATATATTTTGATTTTTTTAATTGCGATATATTTAAATTATTTGGTTTTGAGTTCCTGACAATATTTTGAATCAAGTTTGAGGCTTTGAATTTCAAAGATCTAAATCTAGATGAAGATATATAAAAATAATTTATTTTATTTATAAGATATACATAATGTAACCATTCTTCTATTTTATATATATAACTAAATAAAAATTCTCTCCAAACCTAACATTGAGTTCAATCAAGCATCTTTTATTTGCCATGAGCTACAAATTTTGGGTATACTTATTAGATATATATTTAAATATACGTATTAAATAATTATATACATGTTAAGTAATTAAATAGAAAAACAGATTTATTAAATAAAAGGAGTTTATTTTACCGGAATAATCCACCGAAACATAAAAAAATATACATGCAATGTCAAATCTCAAAATTTTAAAGTGGATTTAAATTAGAATTTATATAGTTTTGGGATAAATTTTTAGGACAATATAATTGAAAAGTAGGCAATAATAGTTAGATAAGCATGATTTTGAGTTCTGAATATTTTTAAGAAAACTATGATTTTTAGTTGTAATTAATTATAGCTTGTAACTAGGGTATTTTGATATGCTTTAAAAAATTATAATTGATTTTTTCAGTTGGTGAAAGTATTTGGATATATTTTCACATAAACACGTTTTTACTTGATTTTCAATTGCAATTTTAAAATATTTAAAATCAATCATATAAGTCAATTATTCTCTCATTTTTCATTCTCATCTTTTATTAATTAAAAATAAAAATAAGCTTGTCATTCTCAATTTTATATTTTTGCATCAAATCTCATCTCATCTCATTTTTGTTATTTTCAAAAAAAAAAAAAATCACACCACTCAAACAAAAAATTTTAAACATATGATTTTTTTAAGCAAAAAGAGGTAATTTTATTAATATCAATAAGAATACTACACTCACTAATTCCTTGTAAAGAAAAAAAGGGAGAATTACATCCACTTATCAATCTCCTTGATTCAATTATCATTGAACTTTATAATAATTAATTTTGTTGTGTGGAATTGTAATGTAATTTTTTCACGAAAAAGCAAAACCTATAATACTACCTATATGAAATGAAGAAACAGCAGAAAGCAATAATCCAAGAGTACAACCTACACAAAACAGCCAAAAAAAAGCACACCCCCCCAAAAAAAAAGAAACCCAGTCAGTCGATGCCTTCCTTCACTTTCCTACCAAAGCTTCTATCAACCAGGTCAAGTACATCCTTATCCTTCACGCCAACACTTCTGCTATATATGTAAGTCCTACATCAAAATGGAGACGAGAGAAGATGGTGGTCCATAGAGCCATCCTTGTACAATCGTGCTTCTCATCACGTTATTAGCTACAATCCAATTAGCTGCATTATTCCCTTTCCTTGAAACCAAAGAAAAAGAGCAGCATCCATTAGACCCACACAACCAAAGCACTTCTGAAGGATATTAACACATGCCTAGTCACATCTCTTTACATCCTTAGCCACCATTCTTCTGCACAGATCCTGGCAATGTCTCAAACAAGACTTTTCCATTAGTAAACAAGTCTCGTAGTAAAAGAGCTTCCAACATTGCCAGTCACTCTAGTAACAGCCTTCTTCCTCCTGGCACAAAAAGCTCCATCAATATTCAACTTCACTACCCGGACCTCTATTGGTTTTTGCCAAACCGGAGCTTTATCAAAACTTTAATAAAAAATCTGTGGCTTCTTCTGATACACCATGTTATCCCAATACTCATCCACTAAACTAATAGCCTTACTCAAGCAAAAGTTCTGCATTAATCATCTGGCCTTGCAAATCACCCAACATGTAGCAGCAAAGATGGTCACTGTATAATCATTAATAACTTCCTTATTCAACAACCAATAATCCTGCAACCAGCTATCAATTCTTCTTAAATTCCACCCATCAAGCTTCAGGGATAGTAAAGAAGCAAACCAACACTTCTTAACCCAAGGACAAAAAGAAACGCATTTGTTTAACACTTTTAACATGCTCGTTACATATTACAATACACACAGGATCGATCAGTCAAGCATTTCCTCTTGCACAAGGCTTCTCTTGTAGCAATGGTTCCATTGCATACACACCACATGAAATGGATAAACTTTAGGAGGGCCTTTAACCTTCCATATACCTTCCCATAGTCTTTTAGACACCTTAGAAGAGCAACTTAGATCCTTAGCCCAATTTGCCTTACCATCCCTACTTGCCAACCAAAACAAATTTATCCTCACCATTCACCAGAGGCAACGTCATACTATGTATTAACTCCTTATCCTCTAAACTAAACCAATCATCAAATAGATCCAACCTCTCCACCTACCTTCACAAATGAGATCTTTCACTTTTAAGGCCTTCATATCATCAGTTAACACCCTCAACCTTAATCTGTGATCCTTAGCAACATCAAGTGATCTTCAAAAACACTCACCTTATTATCACCATTAACTTCCTTCCAGGATATGTTTGACCATTCCTGCGAGGTTCTACTTCCTTTCTTTGTTTGCATAAAACCATATTAAATGCACGGATTTTAAATGTAATATACTAAATCTAAAATTTAAATTTAAATTCAAATTCACGTGAAGTTTTTTCCACTAGATTTCTTTATGTCATCAAATGTGCACTTTCTCTGTTATTTTTTTTCCACGGTTCTTTTTTTCCTAGAGAAATTAAACTTGAAAAAAAAAACCATAGAAAGTGAAAATTTAATCGAACTTTCTACTACAGGAAGGACTTTTTTATGTCAGTTATTTTGAACTTTTTATTTCTAAAAAATGAGAAAGTAAAAGGGACCATAATGGTAAGTTGACTTTCTATTTAAGTTATTATAATGTTGATTTTATGATACGCAATCCTATTCCTTTTGAAAAGTCAAACAAAACAGTAAAATGGCTCAATTCCTTCCAACAATTATTTGCTTGTTTTGTGCATCATCATCATCATCTCCCAAAAAAAAAAAAACTGCATGGAAGCTTTCTATGACCTATAGTTTCTAGAGATGTCTCATTTATTAGCATCTAGTATTGAATGTTTCTATTAGCAGTATTTAACTACTAATGCATTCATAAAAATTGCACATTATGATCCGTCTTTTAAAGCGAGACCTTATAACCTTTTATTCTTTTTACTGATTCTTCTTTTTCTCCTATTTCTTTTGTAATTTTTCATAACTTTGATTCAGAATTGATGCTTAGATTAAGAAACACATCCTGTTCAATCTATCTTCTCAATTTACATTCAACAACCATGGGGTTACACAGAAGATCATCATCAGGAAAGCTAGTGTTTGGTTCTTTCTAAAGTTTGATCCCTTCAAGGATTAATATTATGCGCAAAACCCATCTTGAACACGTTTTGATTCCTGCATGGAATAATAGAGCTAAATTTTCATTGCACTCCCTTATATCATAGAAACTAGGGCTAGGCTTACGAGGTAGACCCACCAAGGACTTATATAATCCATTTTTCATTTCTCAACGAGGCTAGGAGATTTTACCATGTGGATTATTAGTACAATAATGTGAAGCAACATCGTAAGTCATGAAGTCTTAGGTGGTGGTTCCTTGTCAGTTTCTTGATCATAGTAACATCTTGTTCAGTGGTTTTTATGAAGACGTATGTGACAATTTAGAAATTGTTTCGTTTCACGATCTGATTGGTTTAATTATGTTCCCAAAGTCTAAGATGAGAAGCCTTGAAGAGATGTATTTCAAGAAACAGAAAGAATCGTTTGAAGGAGAAGATTGCCTGATATAGACCATGAAAGCATATGAGTAAAAAAGATAGCTAAGGACATGATTGCATTATTATCTAAGAAGGATGAGATGATTAAACATAACAGAAAAACAAAAGGGTCAAAACTTAGTGAGTCATGGTTGGATGAATTGAAGTGGAGGTGACGTCAATGAGTGGTTTCGAAAATTCCTTTTTTGAATCGTGTGGGAAGATTGTGGTGTTTGATTCCATGCTTGAGCATCTCAAGAGTGACGCAAAGAGAGCATTCATCCTTGGACGTGAGGTATATATATAGTATTTGTTAAGGATACAACCCACTCTTTCATTTGTTCAAGCCCATGAAGCCCAAAGCTATTAGGGCTCATATGATAGAATATACTAGAACAGGCTATCTAAGATACTTTACTAGTGCGTTGTCTCTGATGTTGACACGTGTAGATTTACTTTGTCTCTACCATATTAAGTAGTGGCCTGCTGGTGTGTGTGTGTGTATACATCGTGTATCAATCATTTGTTAATACAACAATACAGAAATTTTTAGAGGATATTCTTTCTTGTCTTTTTTATTTCTCTCTTCTTGGTATTAGAGAAAGAATGGCTTCTGTTGCTGCAACTCCTTCCTCCAACACATCATCCACCACCACGCTTCCTCCCAACTCTTCCTCCATCACTGTATCTCTCCCAAAAACACCCACTCTCATGACATCTAGCTCTCAAGCCATCTTCGTCAAGCTAGACAGAGATAATTATCTCCTTTGGCAAACCACCGTTCTCCCTATCATTTATGGCTATTGCCTTGAAGGTCACATTATACGGGCAAAGTCATGTCCCTTTACATATATTTTTGAGAACGACGAGCTGATGATTAATCCTACATTTCAAGATTGGAATGCTAGCGAC